AGAGGACTCTTAGAGGTGAAAAGATTTTCTGAAAACCAGTACTAGTTTGATAGTAAAACAGCTTAAAAAAAGTATGAAAACACTTTGAAATCAAAACACAGATCACAGAACAACCATATTCAGAAACACTTGGCAAACAGGTTCCACACAGAGAGAGAGAGGTTGGGGATACATAGAATACACATTAGTGTATAGTGGAGCACAGAAGCAAACAGATGTACAGAATAACTAAGTTAGTTACAAGGGTAGGTGATTAAGATGTTGAGAACACATAAACTTCAAACACACAACTAGAGTTGCCTTGAGAGACTAGATGGCTTAGCAAAGCAGAGTAGGAAAGGACTTAATTGAACAGACTAGGCAAAACACCACCAAGCATTCATAATGTAGACATGATAACCACACACTGAGCAAAACAAGATTTAGACATGCTAGACAAACAGTAGACAAGCAAGTAAAGTTGAGACATGCTAATCACATACTGAACAAGGCAATATTAGGCATGCTGGATAAACAGTAAACAGGAGCAGGAATGAACTCATGACTGATGAACTAAGGCAGTAATGAAACACATAGGGTTTAGATTTCAAAAATTAATCAGAGGCATACCAGCGAAGAAGAACACAGAATGTAGAGCAAGGATTGCGCAATGGTTAGCCTTGGCTTTTAGCCGGCCAGGCCAATGAATATCACAAGTAACAGAGAAGAACAGAGAGAGAGCTTTTAGAGTGCAAGTATAGCAGTGAACTAATGTTCGTCGTTTGAACTGAGAGTAGATGAGAGTGTATATAGCAGTTTAGGAGCGGAGCAGAGTAAGGTAAAAGAAATCAAAACTCAACAATTAGGGAAATTACAAAATAAATCACACACGAAATCAGCGTAGTCTTCCTTTAATTAAGGACAAGTACTCAAAGGTTAAAGGACAGGAGTCACTTAGGGAAAGAAAATCAAATCAGACCTAAGTAAAAGGGTAAACAAACAAGAGCTTATTTAAGGAAATAATCGTGAAGAACCAGTAACATTACAGGCAATAAGGTAAGAAGAATAATTAAAGTCGTAAACAAGGAAATAAATCAAGAATCAGCACATAAATTTTAACCAGGCAAAACAATAAATCAAAATCCAAAGTAGTACTGATTTAAAGAGAGGAAAAATATCAGTTTTCCACAAATAGAGGAGTAAGCTAAATAAAACTTCATAAACACACATAAATTAGCCAAGGGATCGACTCAGAAACCCTAGTAGAGATGAACTAGGATAAAAGTCACAAGATACTGAATTAGACTAAGGGGAGTTCATGAAAGTTAAAGCACAACACAAACAATGTAACAAGTAGCTCGGAAAGACTCAGAATCGAAGCAAAAACATAAAAAAATTAGGGCTTTAGCATAAACTAGTTAGGGTTGAAGCAAACTCTTCGAAATCAGTCAAAAACACATAAAAATGGAAGATTAAATACTGAAAATTAGCAAAATGTTTTGAAGAAAGAGATTTTCAGGAAACCCTAGTTTAGGAAAATGGAAAGCCACTCGAAAATCAGAAGATTTTTGTAGAACTCATGTAAAATAGGTTCAATCCATCTCAGATCTTGCACAGATCTGGGAAGTTCAAAGGACGAAATTAGGGTTTCAAGAAAAACAACACAGAGATGAAGAAGTAGGCTTAGAAATCCATAGGTTTAAGGCGAATAGGAAGATATTACTCGAAATCGAACCGGAACAGCCTGAAACAGGCAAGAAAGGGCCACAGGTGTAAGCGGACTGACGCTGGTCCCTCGAGGACCTTAGAGATGGCGATACCAGCATAGGAGAGGCCATTGGAGGCCTGATAGTGGTGAGAAACCACCATGAACGGTAGTAGACGAGTGACGATGAGGGAGAGTTAGGGTTAAGACTGGAGAGCGTTTTAGAGGAGGAGAGGTGAGTGACGGCGGTGAGAGGAGAGGAAATGAGAGGTTTGGGGGGAGGGTCATTAGGGTTTAATTATGGTAGGGAAATCTGGACGGTTGATCAAAATGATCAACGGCCAGGATTGGCCAGGGTATTGGGTCGGGTAAATTCAGATTGGGCCTAGGGTTTTGGGCTGATTTTTTGGTTTAATATTAAGGGGGTTTTGGGCTGGTATTAAAAGGGTTAAGTTTGAAATAAAAGGGGTCATTTGTTAAATACCCAAGTATTTGAATAAAAAATTATTTTATGAAATAATTAACAATGAGAAAAAATAATTTTCATGCACGGGGATACTTTAAAATAGTTATTAAATATTTTAAAAATATATCGGGCTAACTTTGGTAAAATAATGTAGTGATGTATGCATGGGCTATAATTGCAAAATTATTACAATTGTAGCCAAAAGATGCAAATCTGGCTATTTATGAAATAATTTGGACTTAATAGGACCATAAATAGTAATATTAAATCAAGAAATATTTTAAAACATTTGTGATGCAATTTTGTAATTGTTTATATGAATAAAATACAGAGATAAATTAATTTTAAAATGTAAAAAAAATTATGGAAAATGCCAATTGATGCTAATGCGTAGATTTTAAAGGTATATATGCATTTCAATATTATAGGAAAAAATTGGGTATCAACAGATGGTTTGGGGCCAATTGTTTGAGAGAGAATATATAAGAGAGTAGTTTTTTCAGGATTTGGCTATATAATGCCAATTATTTGGGGCTATCTTTTCCAAACCTAATATAAGGCTAAAAAATTGCCAATTTCTGTTATGTGTTGTCATAGAATGCCAATTTTTCAATTAAATTTATAGTACTTTTGAACACTTAAAGCAATTTATAAGACAAAAGTATCAAGATTGGTGTAAAAATGACACTTTCATTGTTAGCGTTTTATATTTATAACTAGATTAAAAAAAAAAGCAAACTTTTAGAATTATCACAACTGCCCAAAATGGGCCACTCCCTCTCTAAAAAAACGGAAACCCTTCACAGCCCCCATTCCTCATTCCCAATTCACCAAAATCTACATTTTTCCTTTTGTTCTTCTTCTTCTTCTTCTTCTTCTTCTTCTTCTTCTTCTTCTTCTTCTTCTTCTTCTTCTTCTTCTGTTGTGTTCAATCTCTTCTTCTTCTTTCTTTAATCCCGACACTATTTTTCCACAGATCTTCTTCTTTGAGGTTCTTGTTCTTTGTTGAGAAAGATTGGTGAAAATAGAATAAGAACAATTGGAGATTGACCCTTGCACCATTGAGAAACACTTGATCGCGATTTTCTAAATTGACTTGTGCATTATTTCAAGGGAGATATTTAGTCTATCCATCACTGTTGGTAAGTAAAGATTGGTGTTTAATCTTATTTTCTTCGCATGCAGATATCAGATTTTTTGTGATTCTTTAAACATCCGGTGAGATGTTTAAAATATTCTGTGAGATGTTTAAAACATCCTGATATAATTGTAGGTTGTTGTTTCAAACATCCTGAAAGTCAATTCGGGATCTTTCAAACATCCTCTCAGGATATTTCAAACATCCAAGTATATTCTCAAGATGTTTTAAACATCTTCTTAGAAAGTTTGAAACATCGATAGGATGTTCACAAAAAAGTTGATTCATTATGCCAATTATTTTATATATTTGTGATATCTTCAGGTATTCCATTACAAAATGGTTGATTATATTGTATTGGGAGTTGATGGTCATGGTAAATGGGTGGAGTGCTCTACCCGTTTTACCTGGCGTTCTAAGAGTAAAATGATCGTTCTAATAAAGGTGCGTAAGGATGTTACGTATGATAATTTTGTTGACAAGGTTTACTCAAAAATTCCATGAGAGGCGTATACAGTTCCTCGACACTCCAACCATTTGTGTCCCTTCAGTTGAAAAGAAGATTAATAAAAATGCAACTTTGGGCAACAAGCTATTGGTCCATCCAATAAGGCAACAGGTGTTCAACATCACCGGTTATATATGGTGCGGTTACAAAGGTTGATCAACGCAATAGAACATGTTCTTGTAGAGAGTTCGACCTAGACAAATACTATGTCCACACGCTATGGCAGCGCTAGAGTTGAGTTTGGTGCTCAATACGGAACGCTATGGCAGCCCTCAAAGAGAACTCATAATCTGCAGGTACCAGTACAAGAATGTAGACGTGTTTCCAGGTTTAACAGTTAAGCTCAACATAGGTAAGTTATGCCAAGTCTAAATGATATGAGGAATATGACATCTCTATATCTACATGCCAATATGGATATCGTATGTGATGCAACACAATGAGAGCCTCGCGTACTCACACTCTCAGAGTACTCAACCTGACTGTCTCAATTCTTACTCATCACACTCAATCACTCAGCACTGTACGATACCTACTGCGGCATGCAGCCCGATCCCATCATGAATCAACAGAAAATGCGCTCACTATGAGTGTGCAGACTCCAGAGGGGCAAATCCTGCCCACGCACTAATAAAACCTGATGCGGCGCGCAGCATGATCCCATCGTGAATCAATAATACCTGCTGCGGCGTGTAGCCCGATCTCATCATGAGTCAATAGTACCTGTTGTGGCATGCAGCCCGATCCCATCAATATCACTTACAAATAGTCATCAATCTCTCCAGTCTCTCGGGCTCACAACACTCATGCCAAGAAGCCCAAATCAATGATACATGATGTGACAATGTATGATAACAGAGACTGAGATATGATATGCAATGATGAACGAGACTGAGTACGTACTGTAAATTAAGCAAATAATCTCAACAGCAAAAGAACGAACACTGTGGGTCCCAATAGTACCAGCTCATAGCCTAAACACGATTTCTAACAAAATTCATAGCTCAAGTGATCCAACAAATAAAGTAAAGTAATAATATTCAGATAAGGTGACTAAATAGTCCCACGAAATCGACTAATCATAATTAATACGGTGCATGCCACACGCCCGTCACCCAGCATGTGCGTCACCTCAACACTGATCACTTAACACGAAATTCAGGGATTCATACCCTCAGAACCAAGATTAAAAGTGTTACTTACCTCAAACTGTGTGATTCTTTACTCCAATAAGCCCTTGTCTCGCGAATCGGCCTTCGAACGCCTCGAATCTAGCCAAAAATAATTCGACACAATCAACTCAAGCTATTGGAATCAATTATATATAAAAATGCTAAGTTCTTAATTAAAAGTCAACCCCGAGCCCACATCTCACAATCATACAAAAGTTATAAAATCCGAACTCCCATTCAACCATGAGTCTAACCATACCAAAATTACTCATATCCGACACCAAAATGCCATTCAAACCCCCAAAATTTGGCCTAAGAAGTTTTACCATTTTCCTCCAAATTTTCAACCCAAAACACTAATTAAATGATGAAAACAATGATATATTCATGTAATTTAACCAAAACCGAGTTAGAATCACTTACCCCAATCACTCCCTTGAAAATCTCTCCAAGAATCGCCTCAATCCGAGCTCCCAAAATCAAATTGTGAAATTTTACTCTAACCCCCGTTTTTGAAATATTTAAGTCTGCGCAGATGTCCTTCTTCGCGATCGCCGGAAATGTTTCACGATCACGAAGCACAAATACTAAGCTGCCAAACTTTACACTACGCGACGCGAAGCAATGCATTGCCTCCTCAGACCTACGCGACGTCGCGACCGCAAACATCATCACGCGATCGCGGTTAACAAATCCGCGTGAACCCAGACTCCTCTTTTCCTCTTCGTGAATGCCACAAGACCCACACGTTCACAAACTGACCAACTTACGTATCGAAGAATCTTGCTTGCGAACGCATAGAGCAAAAATCCTAGCTGTCCAAATAAGCCTTCGCAATCGCAGACCAACTCACATGATCGGGAATATGGAAACCAGACCTGCAACATCAGAAATTTCTATGTCCCAATTCCAATCTGATAACCATCCGAAATCCACCTGAGGCCCCCGGGACCTCAACCAAACATACCAACAAATCTTAAAACATCATACGAACTTACTTGAAGTGTCAAATCATATCAAACAACATTAAAACTACGAATCGCACTTTGATTCAAGCCTAATGAACTTATGAACCTCTAACTTCTACATTCGATACCGAAACCTATCAAATCAACTCCGATTGACCTCAAATTTTACAAACAAGTCACAAATGACACAACAGACTGATTTCAACTTCCGGACCAAAATCTAAGCTCGTTAACCACAAAGTCAACTCTCGGTCAAACCTCTCAACTCTCCAAACTTCCATTTTTCCAATTTTCGCCAATTCAAGCCAAAATCAACTACGGACCTCTAAATCACTATCTGGACACACTCCTAAGTCCAATTAAAATACGGAATATAACTCCAGCAATCGGTGCAGTTCGAACCTTTGACAAGTGGAACCCCAGTAAACTACGCTAGAATTCAAAGGCTTGGTTATTTTTTAACCATGAATGATTCCTAATTTTTGAATATATACTAGTGTAAAATTTAGGAACATTTTTTATTTTTGAACCTTTATGAGTGCAAAATTTAAGAACAATTCTTGGTTTTTGAATTTGAATTTACATTATACTTCAGCAATTTTAAACCTTTACTCTTAAATCCAAGAACGATTCCTGATTTTTTAATATTTATTAGTGCAAAATCTATGAACGATTCCTGATTTTTGAACTCATATTATAATTCAACAATTTTGAACCTTTACTAGTGCAACATTCAAAATCCAGGATAAATTACTGATTTTGAACCTTTACTAATGCAAAATCCAGGAGCGCTTCATGATTTTTGAATTCACATTATACTTCAGTAATTTTTAACTTTTAAAAAATTTAGGATAGATTACTGATTTTTAAACCTTTACTGATGCAAAAATCTAGGAACATCTTGGAAAGGTTAATGGTTTTTAGTTCATATTATACTTCAGCAAATTTTAACCTTTAAATACAAAATCAGGATATATTACTGATTTTTGAATCCTTAATAGTGCAAAATCTAGAAAAATTAGGGACGATTCATGGTTTTTGAATTCACAATATACTTCAACAATTGAGAGCTACAGCTTCAGGTCATTCAAACTCAAAGAACAACTTTTTGAATTTGAACTTATAAATATTTAAAGTTCAGTAGTCGTTCCCGGAGTTCTTACATGTTTAAATAGGGTAACTTTTTTCCAGGCTTATATCTTTGTATTAGTGAGTGGCTACTTTACCAATACAACTAAAAATATTCCTAAACTCTAATAGCCGATCTAAAAAGTGGCTAGTTATCAATTTTCACGACTCATTTCCATCACTTAATGGGGTTTTATGATAATAAAAGCTGAATCCACTACTATCATGTATATTAATATAGGATTCGAATATAACTAGTATTAGAACAGCATTAAATTATAATCTAACTTGTTCGAGATTAGGTTATATTGCTTTAACAAAATTATAACTATTTCTTGTTTCTAATCCCAATATACTCGATAGATTAAAGACCCCGTTGTTATTTGCTTTTCAGCCTCTATATTGATTTTTATCTTATTTTCTTTGTTCCAGAATATTTTTTCAGAAACGATTCTGTTGAAGACAAATTCATTTTTTTTTTAAAAAAAACTTGTTCTCGTTATTCTAGAATATAAAGTTTTTATTATTTGTAACAAAAATCCATTCTTAGCCATGAATAATGCGCGTTTAATTTGCTAATGAGTTTTACTATAAAATATGTTGTATTTACTACAAAAAGTTTTCGATCGACACAAAACCCTCAAAAAACCCAATGGGTAAAAAATGCATGCCAAGGCATAAAGTAATTTTTACTAAGTCTTCTAAGGTGAAAAGAGAAAATAATAGCCATCTTTCAAAGGCCATATCGGCCCAACCTAAAAGAACTAAGGGCCAAAACATCTAGAGTTCGAGACTTTGTTCTCACTCAATTTGGACCTAAGGGTCCCACCGTCCCGAGCTCGCATAAAATCTACTTAAGCATAGCTCGAGGATGCATCAAAAAACCTTAAGAGGGATTCTGTTATGAATTCAAAACTTGCCCGTTGATTATTAAAAAAACCTAAGGGTTTGTTTTACTCTGAGTCTGAGCCAGTGCTCACTCGATTATTGAAGTTATAACATCAAAAAATTTCACAAGACGGAAACAAAGCAGGTTTTACCACAAACCGGAGATGGAGCGGCAAGGAAAGGAATTATTTTATATACATAGAAGATATTTACAATGCCCACAAGGGGCCTTACACAAAAAAAAAATCCTAAGGGCCTAGTCTACTTTGGGAGCCGCATCCTTGGGAGCCACATCTTCGAGAACCTCCTCCTCGGGGACTTCATCCTCATCTCCTCTGCTCTCGGAACCACTAGCAAAATCTTCATCATCGGAGAGTAAAGCTGCAGCCTCGTCTTCCAAAGTTTTGCCTTTTCGATATCAGTTGAGAGGTCAAGCCACGAGCGTGCACTTCCTCGAGAGTCTCTCTCCGGGATTGTCGCCTGGCGTGATCGATAGCGCACGACAATTTAAGTTCAGCAGCAATAGATATCTCCTGTGCCCGAATACTGGCAGCCTCGGCGTCAGCTCGATAAGAGGCCACAAACACCTCCGCCTCAGATTTAGCCTTAGCAAGTTCGGCGGCTGATTTAGCTTCGAGCTCCTCAATCTTTCGGCTTTGGGCCAAGCTTTCCCCCCTTACATTTTGAAGCTGGCATTCGACCGAAGTCAGCTGGGCTCGAAGCGAGTCTTTCTCCGAGGCAAGACGATCCATATATTGCTTCCACCCCAGGGTCTCGGCCTCTTTCGCCTTGACCTCCTGTCGAAGTTGCTCCACCATCTCGCCCTTCTGTTGGGCCTGCAAAGTCGAAATGTTAATCGCTAAGTCAAATGAACACGTAGCAAACTCCCAAAAAGTTACATTACCTGCTCAATGAGCTCAGTCTGTTCTCGATGAGCCTTCGTCAGATCGGCACGAAGGTCCCTGATCTCCTCCTTTTTTGAACGTAGAGGAGTTTGAGGCTGTCCCTCTCTTCCACGAGCTTCTTGAGTTCGGCCTCGCATCGGTCAAGCTCGACTCGAGATTTGGAAAACTCTTCTCGATGGAGCGTCATGGCCTTCACAAAAAGGAAAGAAGTCGGACTTGGAAAAATGAGAATAAAACACAAGCATAATTATGAAAGCAGAAACTTACTTGTGTAAGAATCCATTGGGCCTCGTCAAAAATAAATGAAGCATCCGGGTCGGGACCATCTTCGACCGCAGCGAAAGAACCCTGGAAAATATCATTCCCTTCATGGGCCGTCCCCACGTCAGGAGTCTTCATAGCCCGGGCATCTCGGATCTGCCCTTCGAAGAACATAGGGCCAAGCATTGAGTCATCTACATTGATTATCCCAAGTGAGTCACTTGGGACATCCTCTTCTATTTGAGGGGACTCGGAATTGGACCCTTCGGGCTTACCCTCCAGACGTTCTTCACGGGGCGCGCTTTTATTACTAGATGGCTCGGGGACCCTGCTCGAGCTCCCCTCCGAGAATTCTTCATTTCGAGATTGAACCGCATCAATCATCACCGATTCAGCAGCCTTCAAAGCTTCAGTGCTTCCCCTCTTCCGAGCTACCAGCAAGCAGTCGGCGTCCTCTCCTTCTTCCTCGCCATCCCGAAGTTTTTGGACCGTGTCAGCTGATAGGGCTGCAAGGTCGGCCCTAGGCCTTCGAGCCCTATTTTTTCTGGGCTTCGGGGTACTTGGTGGCGAAGCCCTTTTCCTTTTCTTCTCTTTGGTTGGCTTTGGAATCTCCTCTTCACCGGGCGGAGGCGGCCTCATAACAACATTGTCCCTGAGGCTTGCGTAAGGGGAAAGTAAGTATTTTACAGAGAAACGTCAACATATGAACAAAGGAACTCACCATGGTTTTTAACTTCCCACCGACCCTTGGCCAAATCACGCAAACAGCATTCAGCATGTGAAGAAGTGAAGGCCGGTTGTCGAACCCAACCTGCAAGGTCCGTAACGGAACCAGGAAACCAAGGGGAAGCTGCACCATCAAAAAGAAATTAGATCGAAGAAGAATATAGAAAGTAGAATAGTAAGCATCATCGATGGAGTTGTACTTAAGTTTCATGTTCCATTCCTCGGGGAATGGAATCTTTTTGGCAGGAATTAGGTCGAAGGTCTTGATTCGGACAAATCGGCCCATCCATCCTCGGTCCTTATCCTCATTGATGCTAGAGAACAGCGCCTTCGAGGATCGACACTGGAGCTTTATCAGCCCACCTCGGTAGAGGCGAGGCTTGTATAGCCTGATCAGATGGTCGAGGGTAAAAGACATCCCCTTGACCTAGCTCGAAAAGTACTTGAGCAAAATGACGATACGCCAGAAAGAAAGGTAGATCTGGCCAAGGGTCACCCAGTATTAATGACAGAAATCGAGTATGACCGGGTCTACGGGACCCGGTGTGAAAGGATAAGTATACACACTTCAATACCCTTCCACATGGGCAGTGATGTCCTCCTCAGGGGAAGGAATCACCACCTCCTTATCCTCCCAACTGCAGTCCTTTTTTACCTGCTCGAGATCGTCTTCAGATATCGAGCAGATGTATCGAGACATGGGCTCGCATCGGCCTGGAACTGATGCAGGCCTATCGACTTTGAAATCGGAAGATAGCTCGCATGGCCCAGGAATGCACTCCTCGATACGAGGTGCCACCGTCGTTCTCCACCGGCCGACCGCGATGATGAGGAGGCTTTTTCTTTCTGAGGAACAGTTTTAGATATTTTATCCATCACTGTTGTTAAACTCAAGAGAAGAGAAGAAGTTGATGTTGTAATAAGCACAAATTGAAGAAAAGGATGGACTCAAAGAAGATGAAGAAGCTAGTAAAGATTTGGGAAAGGTTTGAGAAGTAAAGATTGCAAAGGTTGTGAAATTGAACTATTTATAATGGCCGCTTCAACGGTTTAGGGAAGCCAATGGCCGACCATCATCCGCCTTCAATCAATAACCTTGAGAACTATGCGGACGCGACCCTTCAATCACTTCTGTCGCTGATGGCATGGGATTGACATCATGATCGAGGCATTGGAGGATCGATGATCAAATCGTTTCTTATCGTCTTACTCTAAAAAACGCGGGGACTATCTGTATACGGTTGAAATTAGGTACGCCCAATTCCGTAGGCTCAAGGGGTCGCTTACAAGACTCGAAGATCGAAGTGCTCGATGAACACCGAGGCCAAGTATGACCAACCTCGAGATAATACCGTTATGATTTCATAACAGAAAGAGCGAGATTCCCGCAGTGGCCCTAAGATTATGGGGTAAATTCCGGAACGGATTTGTACTAGGCGGTTAGACAGCTATATAATAAGATTCCCTACTATAATTAGAAGTGTACCTTATTTAGGATTTCCCTACTATATAAAGGGGATCACAATCATTTGTAACGCATCAATCATTGACAAGAGAATATACATACATCACTTTCTTTCTTACTTTTCATCTGAAGTGCCTTATTATTTTATTATTCTGACTAACCTACCTCGAGGCTGCCATAGCTCGAGGTCGAGACTTGCTTGCACATTGGTTTGATTTACTTTACTCTTTAATTTATATACTTGATTCCTTGTTTATCAGTTAATATTGAATTAAATCACATATCTGTAAAATCACAATACAAGTTTAATTGTTACTCGGATTTTTAGGGTAAACAAAAACAATAAAAGAAGAAGAGTATTGTAGAGAAAAGTAGAGAAATCTTTTTGACTTTCGATGATATACAATGGAATAGAACCCCTCTATTTATAGGAAAAAAGTGACTTAGACCTCATTTGTTTTTTTTAAAGATTAAGACGTCTGAATCTGAATACACATATGAATATTAAGATGTATATTAAGATTAAGACATCTGAATCTGAATACACATCTGAATATATTAAGATGTGTATTAAGATCTGAATAAAAGTAATTAAGACTGTTTGATTTTTAACATCTGAATGTATAAAATTTATCTTTATTTGAAAATTAATAAACATAAAATTCAAATGAAATACTAACTAATCTAATATTCTAATCAATTAAATATATAGTTTTTTAAAATATGTTAGTCGCTGGTGGTGATGGCTAACGGGTGAATGCCGACTAGAGGCGGTTGTTGGTGGTAGTTTTGGTTGATGATGGTGGTTCATGCTAGTAGCTAGTAGTGATTGGTAGTGGTGGCGATTATGATTGAGGATGGTGGTGGTGAGTGGTTATAGTTAATAATGGCGGGTGGTGGTAGTAGTTGTGACTGAGGAAGGTGGTGGGTGGGTGGTGGTAGGTTATAATGATGGCCAGTGCCGGCTATGGTTGTTGATGGTCATGGGGTAGTCAGTTGTGGTAGTTGAGGTGGTTGAGTGTTGATTGTGGGTGAGAATGATGGTGGTCGGAGTAGTGGTGATGGTCGATAATGGTGGCGGCTATGATTGAGGATGATGGTGGTGTGGTGGTGGTGGAGGTGGGGTGGTGGGAGTGGTGGTGGTGGTTGAGTATGGTGGTGGTGGTGGTGGTGGCATGGTGGTAGTTGATAATGATAGGCGGTGGCTGTAGTTAGTAATGAATATGTGATAGCATCTTAATGAAATTAAGTCTCTGTTATAGATCTTAATCATACAGACCTATTCAGACCCATTAAGTGGTGTTGAAGTAAAAAAAAAACACACTTAATGATTAAGATTTGAATAATTAAGAATCAGACTTTAAAAACAAACGCACTTAATGTTTGAGATCTGCATAATTAAGATTCAGACCTCCATTAAGTGCAAACAAATGAGGCCTCAGCCACCAAGTGACAAACCCTAAAATCTCTCTAAATTATAGACATTCACCTCAACCACAATTCTATTTATAACAACAGCATATATATATATATATATATATATATATATGAGTAAATCGACTTTAATTCTCAGTGAAGGAATATTAATGAGACCATAATGTTGTATTGTTTTTTCCAAATAATGTTGTGATTTACGCACAAAAGAAAAAGTAAACGCATACTTGATTACAAAATCACTGCCACGACACCTCCTCAATCATTTTTAGATTGATTATAATTCATAAGTACCATTAGCTAGTAATTTCTCTTCCGATCTTATGACATTTTGTTTTAGTCTGTTAAAAATTTAACTATACTTTTCTCTTGAAAAATATGTAAATCTTAACTTTCTTATTTTGCTGTCATTAACATGATTTGTTGGTAATTGTACCAATTTAATATACAAGTTTATTTTTACAAGGAAAAGAAAATGGGGAAATCTTAACGCCCCTACAATTTAAAAAATAATTTTGGTACTTTATACAGTTAACTTATATGTTAAAATATTTTAAAAGTTTTTCAAATTACATATTCAATCAAACAGTTCAAATGGAAATAGCTTCCATGAATCTCAATTAGTTAGATTAGCAAATTTGCAATACTAGATGATTAATAATTTCAAAACCAGCATAATGTGCACCTCACCTTTTAAAAGATACATCACCTATTGCTCTTGAAACAGCCAATTGACCATTAACCCTAGCTACGCCACTCCATTCAGAGACATGTCCTCCTGCAGTCTCCACTCGAGACCTCTCGTCATCCCTATCTGGGTGGTGGTCTCTAGTCAATTCCTTGGAAATCAGAAAAGGCCACTGGTCAGAAGCTGCCAACTTGAAGCTATTGAAGTTCTTCACAGGTTCGAAAACCCCAAAGCCTCTTGTTTGCCTATATAACCTCAATAAATTAGCTGCAACCAAAAGAGAATTAAAATAACTATCTCTTCGAATTGTCCATGTAAAGCAACTCATACTTTATATAAAATGTTATTTGATAAAGACATTACAAATATGATTCTACACCATGAAAATTGTTACTTGACATAGAGCCAAAAGGGGAGAACTTCTGACCTTTAGCCTCTTCTTGAGATTTATATTCTTCAGAACATAAAAATGCCTTTGAATCTCCGATATTTGCAACTAAAATTTGATTTTCTGCCATAAGTATAACTGTGGCGGTAGAGCCAGAATCAAAATTGTGTCTAAATGCATCCTTCAGAAGCAGACAAGTTAATATTAAGACAATGCGTAACAAAGATTTAAGTCTGATTGGCCTAACGAAAAAAATGCCACTTGAGAGGTTACCCTTGAAAATGCAGAATCAATATCATCAATTGCCCTTAGCAATGCCTCCCTCAATATTTCCAAGTGAAAAGATCGATCAATGATTGAAGACACAGTCAGCTTGAGCCTACATAGAAGAAATGACAATTTTCCCTGGATATTTACATCATGTAAATTTTTTTGGACAATAAGAGATGCTATTAGATAACTAAATACAGATAGATGACACCCTGTAATAGCAAATCAAATCAAAAAGTAGACTGTAGCCTAAAATATCATTCTTTTATGAGTAGACTGTAGCTTATTTATCATTTTACAGAATCACTTTAGTTTGCAGTTAAAGATACATATATATAATAAATATATTCTTCCCCTTGACATAGTAATATTGAGGATCTAAGCAAGGACGGGCATCTACTCTCACTGTTCCTGTATACAGGTGTAAACTATCAATGATGTGATAGCCTTCAAGAGCTAAGTTGCTCCGACATGGCAGTTTAGGTGCCGCACCCGTGGCACACGACACTAGTATGGGTGTGGGTATGGGATCCGTACCGGATTTCGTCAAACAATTTTGGGTACTTTGACCACGACGGACGAAAATTGTTGAGAATATGAGCATATGATAGCCTCTCCTTGGAAATGTCGAAGGTGCCACCGGTTTGCCTGCTAATGTTTTGATTCGGTGAATTAATTCAGTAAATTAAAGGAATAGTTTAACTTAAACATTCCCGTTCCAGCCTGCCACTGTCAGTGCCAACCCAGTTCCTTTCGTCAAACACTTCAATTCTGTTAGCTTCCCTAAAAACGACACCGCTTCAAATAGTTGCTTACTTTTATTTAAATAGTAATAATTATTATAATAACAAAACAATAATAATGGAGTAATAGAATCGTTCTTTTTTTGACGGAGTATTTATTGGGGGAAAAAATGAACGGAAATGTGAGTAAAGAGTCGTAGTGCGCACATTGGCCGTTTCAAAACGCCAACTATTTCCCCATTGTTATCTCTGCTCATTCATCCATTTTCTTCCTCAATCGCCTCCGGATTCTTCTCAGAACGACGCCGTTCCGACCGCTCCTTTTTCGGTAAGCTTTTCATTTGCATACTTATAAAAATTTGAAGATCAGGATATGTTAATAGATATTTGAAAATAGCCTCTGTTTATGTCTTATGTTGCAGTTAGGGTTTAAATCGGATCCGATTAGATCGAGAGTGTTGATGCCGATCTGAAAAAATTTACTCGTTTTGTGTAGGTTTTGGGAGAGAAGATATTATAAGTCATAAGTGATGGCGAATAGAGTGGATCACGAGTACGATTATTTGTTTAAGATCGTGTTGATTGGGGATTCTGGAGTAGGAAAATCAAATATTTTATCTAGGTTCACGAGAAATGAATTCTGTTTGGAGTCGAAGTCCACTATCGGAGTTGAGTTCGCCACCAGAACTCTTCAGGTCTGTATCAATCTCATGAATCATGATGTGTTTATATTCTACTCATTTCTTTTGAGCTTCGCGTACAGTGATTTTCTAATTTCTATTGGTTCAACCTTTAAGTTTTGCATTTAAGTTACATACACGGACAATGTAATGAATCTTTTACAACATCTGTGTGATTTAACCTGTTATGTTACTTACAATTTTTTCTAGATTACCAATCAATACTATTAGATAGAGTTGTTTGCAATTATCCTTAAGTGACTTGATTGAGTAAATATCTTTTACACCGTTAGTGCATAAAACTTGAAATCGTAAATTTTGGTTTTTTTAATTGCTCTTGTGAAACATGAACACTAAGATAAACTGTTGAATGATTAACTGTATGGCGTATGCCCATTGGAATTATGTGTTTTATGATGTGAATGTCATAGGAATTATTGAATCATGAGCTGTTGATTTTGAGCATTTATTCATCTCAAACTGAGAATTTAATGCGATTGACGTTCACATGTATGTGCTGACGATTGCTTTCTGTTTCATATTTTGAATTCGGCTTCCATGGTCATACGTCATTTGACTAAATGACTCATCATAGTTAGTTTATCTCGTCATCCATTGTAAACAAAAACAAACACCTCAGACATGATCATCATCTACTGAATGAAAGCGAAGAAATTCGATTCTTTGATAGTCTACAGAGTACAGATTCAGTCATATCTTCACGTATGCACAAGATGCACGTACATAGAAGCAGCTAGACCTTTTGTAATTGTATAGACATATTCTTGTTAGGAGTGAGGAAATTTTGGTACTTGTGATTTATGTCTAATCGCCTTGGTTATGGATTCATCTGTTTGAAGCTAACTAATGTGCTTCCGAGAATAAAGTAGGAATGCTTATTACTTGGCATGACACCTTTAACAATTATGTGTCGCCGTACACAATACTGCTCTCTGTTAAAATGAAAATGTTCAACAGCAAAACTAGATGTCTATCTCTGATGGGGAATTGGAATGTTTAATGGCGTTTATCATGTCCTTTTGGACAAAAGATCTTAACACTGAAATTTTCGACTTTGTAACCCCTATCACCTATTGTGGAACTGATGCAAATTGCTTTTTCCGCCAGCAACAAGATCCATTTCTTCTCATTATTAAGTCATGGAAATGTGGGGATGGTACAAAGTTACTGGTCTTTTGGCATCTCTCACGGAGTAATATATTTATCTACTTAATGATGCAGGTGGAGGGAAAAACAGTGAAGGCCCAGATATGGGACACTGCAGGACAAGAAAGGTACCGAGCCATTACCAGTGCTTACTATCGAGGAGCAGTGGGTGCACTCCTCGTCTATGACATAACAAAGAGGCAAACATTTGACAATGTCCAGAGGTGGCTACGAGAATTGAGAGACCATGCAGACTCTAACATTGTAATCATACTGGCAGGAAACAAGTCTGACCTTAAACATCTTAGAGCAGTCTCTGAGCAGGATGGTCAAGCTTTAGCTGAGAAGGAAGGACTTTCATTTCTTGAGACCTCAGCATTGGAAGCTCTTAATGTTGACAAGGCTTTTCAGACTATATTGACAGATATTTACCATATCATAAGCAAGAAGGCATTGGCAGCCCAGGAAGCAGCCGCGAGCACTGCACTTCCTGGTCAGGGTACAACAATCAACGTCAGTGATAACTCTGCAAATGTGAAGAGAGGCTGCTGTTCAACTTGAGTTGGTGTTTCAAAAAGAAATAGAATTTGTAGCAAGGCATAAACTTTTTTTGTTTTTTCCCCTTCTTTCTTTTCTTCTCTTCTATTTTCTTCTCCTTTTCAGGCTTGTAGATTACTTTCTTGATTCATTTAAGAGGAGAGCTTGTGCATGTTCATTATCTATTGGTTTAGGACGATCTGTACTTCACATGATACACAGTTTAACTGTTTACTTAAAAAAAAAGGAATACTGGTACTGTTCGCAAGACCAAAATAACTCTGATCTTCCAGGACTTGGAACACAGGACTTGTTAATTCAATTGCAGCATTTTATTTTGTGGCAAGTTTCCTCGTGTTCTGTTAATAAAGTAGTCTGCAATTCTGTTAGTGTTTCTTATGAATTTGTCTTCTCTTTCGCAAACAAATGGTTTTCCGGGACTAAGTTGAATATGAATAACATTATAGAGATGCTTAGAGGGTGATATTGCGAGTCCAGATTTACAGACAGAAGAGAAAAAGGAGAAGAAAGAAGTGCTGGGAAAGTTATGTTTAGTCGACTACATGTACTTACAAGTTTTTCATGCACAACGTGAAAGGTATTTTCATTCGAAGTCCCCAACTAAACTGGTTCCCCTCTAACCTTTCTGTCCCTTCTCATTATTTTGTTGGTTTGACCTATTTCATCTCCAAGGAATTTCTTAATAGATTTGAGGCTCTCTTTTTTTTTCTCCAGATTTGAATGATTTTGATAGACAGAAGGTTCCTAATTAGGGAAATGAGAAAAATAGAAGCACCCCCTTAACCTTTATAAGATATTAATGGAATGCATGACAAAATTGTCGAGAATGGATAACCTGGAAAAAGCCTAATCACTTGAAAGTTTATATAAATTAACCCTTTGATGCAAACATATCACGCAATCCGCTAATAAAAAACGTTTGAATTCAGTGATTATTCCCAATTCATTTTTTTTCACTTTGTCTTGATTAGGTGACAGACATGCTTTGCACTTCGATTCTTGTGGCTGTCTTCATCTGTTTCTTTAGTTGTTTTCTTGCAACTTGGAAAGGAACAAAAATATCCCTTTTCCGTATAATGGAAATGGAGTGCACGAAGTCACGTTGTGGATGGTTGACGGCTTCGTTAAAGGCGGCCTCTCAAAATTGGAAATGGCACAAGTTGCGAATCCAGTTGGTGATTAGTGCCTAATGGGACAAGCATAAAACTGTCTAAAGAAGAACATGGGCATTTTCAGTGATCTTCCTTATCGTTTTCACAGATTCTCTTTTTGATAACCATGATGTCAGAGCCAGAGCCAGCTTACGCGCATCTCGACTAATTTCATAGGGTACCTGCTATCTCTCACCAGCACAAGTACGGTAGTAACTCTATCTACCAAAGCTTGGACAAATAGGAAGAAATCACCTAGTGTTTCTACCTTCGGTAGGATTTGAACCTTAAGACCTCATTGTTCTTAACCCAATTCATTGAGCCGATGCCATTATTTTCAAAGATCTTCCTTAAAATAGAAGACAGAAGGAAAAAATAAACTTCTTGCAGTTGTCAGTCTCTTGTCCCTTTGGAAACGCGAAAAACTTACTATCGTATCATTTGTATATGAGTAGTAGATAATGAGTTTAACCGAACTGTTTAAATGTTTCATACACTATTGTATCATTAAAAGGTCATTGCATATAATTAACCATAATAAGTCAATTTAGTATCATCAAATAACCAGACAAGTAACCTTCTATAGTTGGTGAAATTACACTAGAGAGTAAAAATATCATCACAGTGTCCATGGACATAAGGTAAATCCGTAGAAAATTGTGTAACAGAGTGTCTAAATTCTCAGTTTGTGTTGACAATTATCTCCCTAGCCAAAGATAGACTAAATCAATTATGCTATCAATGAAACAGTAAGAGGATAGTGATGACAGATCAATGCGATAAACTTAAACTCAACAAGAGAGATAAAGAAAGAAAGAGATGAAGTAAGCAATATATACATCTACTATGAAGACGGTTCAACTTGTATGGTTACATGATGAATTCTGTATGTGCTGTCACAATATTCCCTAACCTTCTGAATAATTTCATATTGGTCGACTCCAGGCTCAAGTACAACATGACAGGACAAAACAATTTTCCCTACAGTGATGGCCCAAACATGCAGGTCATGAACTTCCTGAAGTCCTACTAAAGATTTAAGGCCATTCTCGAGTTTAACAATATCAACTTCCTCTGGTGTCTTCTCCATCAATAAGGAGAAGATAATTCTAAGCATGGGTATGGTAGTACTAAGAGCAAAGATCGAGAAAAAAATAGTACAGAGAAGATCAACCACCAACCATTCTGGTTTGAACCACATAATAGCTCCAGCAATCATCACCCCAACTGATTGTATCAAATCAGATATAACATGCAGGTAAGCCCCTTCGATATTTATGTTCGTTGGTTTGCTGCAACTAGAGGCTGCTGATACCAGTTTCAAGCTCTCTTCTTCATTTCTTGGATGCAATTCTTGCATTTCGTGATCGTGATCATGATCATGATCCTTGCAAGGATTATATGAATGGCAATGGAGAGAATGATCATGGCCAAGCCACAAAACTGAGACGAAGTTAATTATGAGACCAAATGCAGCAATAGCAAACATAAGCTTCCCGTTCACTTTGGCTTGTGGATGAAACATTCTCTGAATTGCTTCATAAATCAGCAGACCAGAGACAAGCCATATTAGCTGTACAGATAGAAGGGCTCCTAAAACTTCAAGACGGTGGTACCCGAAAGAGTGTTCTTTTGTCGCATCCCAGCCGGACACCCAAACAGCAAAAAGAGAAATAGAAAATCCAACAACATCACTGAGCAAGTGAGCTGCATCAGTTAGAACCGCGAGGCTGTGGGCTTTCACCCCTCCTATGGTCTCCACTGCCATGACTATTACATAAAAGATTATGAGCCCACAAAGTTTCATAGTCGACTTTGACCTTTGTCTTGAACCCAACATACTATGCTCTTGCTCTGAGAATGAGCAAATTGGATTGCAACAAGACTGAGCTCGCTTACCGTTGCCATTACATTTTGCTCCCAGCAATTGCTTTATTTCAGACTTGGAATCCTCATGTTGCTCCATCTGTTTCAACATGTAATATAGTGAGCTAACTGTTTGAATGAAATACTAATAAGTAAAACTGCAGCATTAGATTTGAGAGTGAATTATCGGGTAACTCTCAAGGCTGCCATATATCAAAGTGGTGGTTAAAGATTCACTAGCATTGCACACAGTAGTGCATATTTGAAGCCTCATTATTACACCGTTTGAGATGTCAACAAGAAGAATAAGGAAAGAATCAGTAGATAGCGATCCCTAGTTATTTTGTGCGCCAAGCGATCATCCGTAAATTTGAACAGTAAGTTGTAGATTGAACGCACTCGAGAAAAGTTAATGCAGCAAGTTATATGGAATAGATACATGTTTCAGCATTATTTTTGAAGTGTATATACATCATTATTAACTTCTCAAGGTAGGGGTAAGGTGCGTACACACTACCCTTCTCAGACCCCACTTATGGGATTACACTGGGTTTCTTGTTGTTGTTATATACTCCGTACATCATTATTAAGCTTATAATATCAAACAAGCATATTAATTAAGCACTCTCTTTTCCATCATAGCAGACTCACAAGTCACATCCCTTTCTATTGGCATAAGTATACCACCCAAAAGATTTTTTCTTCTTCCATCAGAAAAGGAGTCAAAATGCATTCAACTCTAAAAAGTAACTTGCTTGAAAGTCCTTTAAGCTGGTTATCAATTAATCTTGAGAACTCAGCATTTGAACTTCATTTTTTCCCCTCAAGTTTTATTGCTGCTACTGCCACTATACTCTCAATTCCAAAGCAGGGGTATCAAGATAAAAACAATTCTCATGTACAATTATACATCAAGACAATCGTGATCCAAAAGAAACATCTTTCCGAGATAAAACCCAGAAAAAAAAAACATTCTCTTAATCATGAGTAAATCAGAAAGAAATAGTTGAATGATGCTTGAAATTCCACATACCCAATAGTAATTAAGATCACAGAAAACCAAAAGCACGATATTTACCTGGATTCAGGACAAAAGAGAGAGAGAGAGAGAGGGGGGCCGGCAGGGGAAGCTAGGGCTTATAGCTGAAAATGAATAGATCGGGGACCAATTGGATGGAACAAACATTCCTTAATATGAAGCGAAAGAGCCGGCGGAGTCAGAATCCAATCATTATGGAATGAATTGAGCCGCTGAACGGGCACGCCAAAATTGATTCTTCTTATTGGTAAAAGAGCGTGGCCGGAAAGGAGAAGCATGTTGCATTGGGCCGAATCCGTTTTATAAGTAACATTTGACAATGGTGTTCTAAAGACAATTGCGATTTATAAGTCATATTAAGTGCGATTCATAATGTTACATTCATTTATAAATTTTTTTAAGTTAGAACGTATACAAATCATATGTCACATATGCATATTGTATATTTCAAAATTCTCGTAAAGAGAATTATGCTATACACTATTTATAAAATTTATTAAATGACGTAATAATAAATGGCCAAATGTTAGGTTCCTACTTTTTTTTTTTTTTTTTGGTAACTAACCATTTTGTACTAATCACCGAAATGTTAGGTTCCTACATAACCATAACCAACTTATAAACTCAGCAGGATATCTAAAAAATATAACAAAGCCTACTCTAATTTATCTATATCGGGACATAAAATTCTGTACCATATTAATAGTCTCAGTGGTAGCTTGTAAATTGCATATGTAGGCTATCTCTCATGCAATAATATCACTTCCTTTGCTTCTCTTTTCAAACAGCCTCAAGTTCCTTTCTATCCAAATGGAGTGAACTATCTAAATCTACACTATTCTAAAGATTTGCGCTTTTAGTGATTTGCCCTTAGCACATTGAATGGCTCAGGGCACATATTGCTCGCAATTATCTACCTGTGTGTGTTGTCTTTGTTAGGGATGGCAATGGGGCAGGATGGGTGCAGGGCGGAGCGGGTTTCAACCTATGCGGGCGATGCAGGTTTGAGCTTTGCGGGTGAGTTTAATTTCTTTAGAAAGAAATCTTTGCGGGTCGCGGGGCGGGGCTTTTTTATAAAATTGTATCCCTTAATCCATTTTTATGTAAAATTTACAAGACACTCAGATTCTGTGAAAACTGTGCAAAATTAGCCATAACTTGCAAGTGATTCATTTTGATAGAGAAATATATTGATTTGAGTGACTTTTTTCTTATAAACTAAGGCTTATTTCGCTTATAATTATATCATTTTTGAGCTACTGTTGCTGAAATCTTAACTGGGAATACTATAACAAATACACCTCAACCCCAAAAATTTGGGGCAATTATATGGATTCTCATTATCCGTGACGCTCCAATTAAGTTTCATCTAAGTTAATATTATTTAAACTAAAATTAAACACACACACACCATTTCTTCACGAAAAACTTGGTCTAAATATCACATGTCTAATTCAATTATTTGTTAGTTCTGAAAGATACATACTTAAAATATTTTTTTTGTCTATAGAGAGTGCTTTTAATAATAGAGACATTAATAATTCAAATACTTACATTAAGGGGGTATTTGCATTTTTTGAAATGAGCAGCGAGAACTTGTATTTTTTTTTTAGGTCAAATTCAGTATATGAGCAACAAAAGAGCTTTCAATCTTTTGGTTGATTAAATTAGAAAGTCCAACCAAAAGCTCAAAAGAAATAAAACTGAAAAAATGAAGAAGAAAAAATATGCGGGGCGATTGGATGCGGGTGTAAGTGTGGGGCGAGTGTATGCAGGGCAGGGCGGGACGGGTTAAAATATTTGCGAATTTGCCCCGCAACCACACCGCACTGCATCGTTTGCCATCCCTAGTCTTTGTATCCATTGCAGGAGTATTTTTCACAACTCCCTGGGCAATCTGCATTTAATACACATGTGCTCTCTATTCTCATCATCGTCTTGGCATAACGATCACCTTGTGTCCACAGCTAATACCTACTGCAGCAACCTATTTGTAGTCAGCAGTCTTTTATGTAGTTGTAGCCACATAGTAAATATTGATTTGGGCCTGGCATAATTTTGAAAAACCAAACACTTCCAACTGACCCGTGGTCTATCCCCCAATGGATGTAAGTAAAAACTCCTCACCATGATCTTTCTTGGGTGATCAATATAATGCACATGATTCAATAATGCTCTTGCACTCAGGATCTGTCTAATCACCCAACTTGCTTGTTGAGGCACTGCTACATTCTGAAACTGTTGATCTTTGATATAGTATGCATTAATTCACCATATCCATAATCTTTCCTGTTTGTTTGCTAAATCCCATCATATTTTAGCTAAAGTTTTATTATTCCATAGATGTAAGTTAATAAAATTTAGGCCCCCACTGGACTTAGGTGCACACATTCTATCCCAAGCTACTACATTTTTTTTTTTTTTGTAATCACATTTACACCAGACAATATATAGCTTCTGCAATATGAATCAATAATCTTCAATGGCTTTGTGGGTAGAGAAAACAGCTGAGCCCAGTATGCTTGTATACCAAAGAGAACAGTTTGAACAAGTTCAGCTGTCATGATCCAATTTCTCCTATAGGTCGTGATGACGCCCAACGTTACCGCTAGGCAAGCCAATAGTGTACTAACCGTGTGATTATTTCTTTTAACAATTTAGAAATGGTTGATTTTTAGTTATTGGATAAATAAGAAGTGAAAAATTAAATAACATGAGAATAGACAGTTTTAAAAGCAAATGAGATGAAGTAATTAATCAAAAATACTAAGTGACCACTAGCATAATCTCTAAGGCCTGGTGTCACAAGTGTATGAACTACTAGTAGAATATACAAAAATACTACACTACTGTCTGAAGTGAAATAGACAGAAAGTAAAAGTAAAAAGAAAGACTCCGGGTGCTGCAGAACGGGCTCGGAAGGAGGCTCGCCGCAAAGTTTCGAGGTAATCAGGAGTGCGCGCGGGGATGATAACCATATGCACTTGCCTCAGATCCTGCACGGATAGTGCAGAATTGTAGCGTGAGTACATAAACAATATGTACCCAATAAGTATCTAGTTTAACCTCGAAGAAGTAGTGATGAGTTGTCGACTTCAACACTTACTATGGGCTAAAATAAAATACTTTTCATTCAACTTATTCTTTTAATTGAAATTGAGATTTTTGCCTATCCTCCTATTTTATTTTGAAAAATTTGAAACTTAGGTAAGTGCTTATATCGAAATATTAAATAAGCATTAAATAATGATAACGAAAACACAATAACAAGAAATAAATAAATAATTCTTTCACCGATAGTAAATCCCAAAATAATTTTTCCATCATTTAACCATTTAACCTCTCAAGACAATTAAACGATATCAATATATTGGGCTCCAAGTATTATTATGCAGGAATTATGCCAAGGGCGTACAGCCGAATCCAAAACACATATACATATAATGTGTGCACTGCCGAGGGTCGAACGGCACGAACCATAGATGCATCTATTAACCTGCCGAGGCGAACGACCCGCTCTCATGAGAGTAGTGGAATTTACCTCGCTCGCAAAAAATACTTGCGACGCGAGTGAACATAGGTTTCTCAAAGTTATCATAATATCCTTCAATTCTTTCCAAAAATAAGAAATCTAAACTGGAAACTTTAAATCTTGAAATTCTCAATCTCAGCTCTATTTAAGGCAATTAATAAGCATAATCAAATAACGGTGTCAACAAGGCATGGTGTAAACCTAAGACTACCCGTTCATCACATGGAATATAGCTATGCACAGACTCTTGTCACCTAGTGCGTACGTAGCTCCCCACACCAGTAATTTACGACAAAACACACCCAAGGGGATGAGTTCCCTCTTACAAAGTTAGAAAAGAGACTTACCTCGTTCTCAAGTTCACTTCCGTTCCACAATTGTGCTTTAAACCCTCAACTCGATGCCAAACGACTCGAAAATATTGATGTTGATGGAACCCCTCTTAAAAATGCTCTCAAAATCGTCTAAGACCAAGTGGGAAATGAGGGAAATAAAGCTAAGTCCCGCAATAAAATTTGTTGCACAAGTCATTTACTCAAAATGTTGACCGAAGTCAAACTTAGCCTTTTAAGGCCAAACTAAGGAACCAAGTGTTCCGATTTCAACCCGACCCTTCTAAATCCCGAACTAACCATTCCCGCAAGTCATAAAACAGTAAAAGCACATATGAGGAGTCTTATTTAGGAGAACTGGGATCTAGAAAGCAAAACGACCAGTCGGATACATTCTCCGCCTCTTAAACAAACGTCCGTCCTCGAACGGGTCTAGAATCTTACTTGGAGTGCTGAATAAGTGTGGATATCTGCTCCGCTTGTCCTCCTCGGCCTCCCAAGTTGCCTCCTCGACTGGTTGGCCCCTCCACTGAACTTTTACCACAGAAATCTTCTTGGAACTCAACTGGCGAACCCGCTTGTCAACAGTAGCAACTGTCTCCTCTTCATAACCCATGAATCTCATGTAGCTTAACCGTGCTGAAGTCTAACAAATGTGACATGCCGGAATGATACCTTTGGAGCATAGACACATTTAAAATCGGATGAACTTTTGATATACTAGGAGGCAAAGCAAGCTCATAAGCAACCTCCCCAACTCGTCTCAACACCTCAAATGGACCTATAAACCTTGGGCTCAACTTGCCATTCTTCCCGAACCTCATGATTCCCTACATCGGCGAGACTTTCATGACAACCTTCTTGCCCACCATAAATGATAAACCATGCGCCTTCTGATCCGCGTAACTCTTCTGTCTGAACTGTGCTGTGCGAAGTCGCTCCTGAATCAACTTTACCTTTTCCAAGGCATCCCTCACCAAATCAGTACCATATAACTTAGCCTCACCAGGCTCAAACCATCCGATGGGTTAACGACATCGCGGACCATATAAAGCCTCAAATGGAGCTATCTTGATGCTAGACTGCTAACTTTTGTTTTAAGAATACTCAGCCAAAGGCAAGAATCAATCCCACTGCCCTCCAAAGTGAATCACACATGCTTTAAGCATATACTCCAAGATCTGAATTGTCCGCTCCGACTGCCCATTGGTCTGTGGATGAAAGGTCGTGCTAAGCTCTACACAGGTCCCCAACTCACTTTGTACTGCTCTCCGGTAATGAGAAGTAAACTGAGGGCCTCTATCTGATATGATGGAAACAGGCACACCATGCAACCGAACTATCTCCTGAATATAAATTTGGGCCAACCTCTCTGAATTATACGTGGTCACAACCGGAATGAAGTGTGCCGACTTGGTCAACTTTTCGACAATGACCCACACGGCGTCCAACTTTCGCAAGGTCCGCGACAACCTAACTACGAAG